CATATGATTTCTTTTTAAGATCTTATTTATTTATTTGACAGAGAGAGACATAGAGAAAGAGGGAACACAAGCAGGGGGAGTGGGAGAGGGAGAAGCAGGCTTCCCACCAAGCAGGGAGCCCGATGTGGGGCTCGATCCCAGGACCCCAGGACCATGACCAGAGCTGAAGACAGACCCCTAACAACTGATCCACCCAGGCGCCCCTGACTTCACACTCATGTGTGGAATTTAAGAAACAAAACAAATGATCAAAGTAATAACAGAGACAAAAAAACCACATTCTTAAATATACAGTGGGTGGGAGGATGGGTGAAGCAGGTGAAGGGGATTAAGGAAACACTGTGATAATGTACAGAATTGTTGAGCCACACATTGTACATCTGAAACTAATATAACACTGTACAGCAGTGTTATATTAGCTTATAAACTAACATAACTAATATAACACTGTACGGCAATCACAATGGTATTAAACAAACAAGGAAAGAAGTAAAAACCATGGAGATCTAAAATGCACATGGAACATTCTCAAAGACAGACTTATGGTAAGTCATAAAACAAGCCTCAGCAAATTTCAAGTGATTAAAATCATACAGAGTACGTTCTCCAACCACACTGGGATGAAATTAGAAATCAATAATCAGAGGAAATTTGGGGAATTCACATATATTTGGAAATTGGGCAACACACTCCTAAGTCATCAATAAGTCAGAGATGAAACTTCAAGGGAAATTAGAAAATACTTTGAGATGACTGATAACAAAATGACAGTATACCAAAATGTATGGGACGTAGCTAAAGCCATGCTTAGCAGGAAACGGACAGCTGTAAGCACCTGTATCAAAAAAGAAAGATCTCAGATCAATAGCCTATCCTCTCAGCATAAGAAGCTAGATAAAGAACTAAACCCGAAGCAAGTAGAATATATAAGCATGTATGTACATACGTATATAGATACAGAATATATACAGAATATAGAGATATGTATCTATACATGGAATATAGAAGAATATGTATCATAAACTCAAAGCAAGGAGAACAGTGGGTACTCCTAAGAGGATTCGCATTTGCCTCTGTCAGGTAAGAGGTGAATAACTTTAAAACCGAATGCATGATTCAAGACTTTTTGGCCCATCTCGGTTTTGTGAATTTGGGAGGCAAATCCGTGCAAGAGCGACCTTGTAGTTACAATTCTCAGGCACTGTTTTGTTCTCTTCATAAGGAGGCAACTTCCTTTCCAGTCTGCGGCAGGTAGATGTGGGAAGGAGTCGGGTTACTTGGGGTCCATGGCTGCATCTGCCCCGTGGAAGCTGCGTTTATCAAAGGAGGGTCTCTGAGCAGATGCTTACCTTAGGCAGGCTTGCAGCTTTGTCTTATACTTTCAAGAGCGTCGGACTGGGGGCGGCTGGAGGCCTCAGTGGGTTAAGCCTCCGCCTTCGGCTCAAGTCACGTTCTCAGGGTTGTGGGATCGAACCCCCGCATTGGGCTCTCTGCTCAGCGGGGAGCCTGCTTCCTCCCTCTCTCTGCCTGCCTCCTCTCTGCCTGCTTGTGATTTCTCTGTCAAATAAATAAAATCTTAAAAAAAAAAAAAAAGACCATCAGACTGAAGATTAAATTGTTGTTTGGCAAAAGGTCTTAGGATGAAAAGCAGCCTAAGTACTTGCTCACCTCTCTGAACTTTCACTTCTACTTAGATTTTACATAGAGAATCTTACTATCTTAGGAGCTCTGCAACGCTTTTAAGAAGTTACTTCTAAATAATGCATGCCACATGGGTTGTCTTCATGAAGAGAGTGGGTCTGAATAATTAAGCTCATGTTTCAGAAATGGGAAAATACCCCTTCTTTTATTAACCAACCGAAATCTTTTTTGTTTTTGTCCTTGCCATTCCACTGAATTTCGTGATTTCCAAGTTCACCAACTCTAGTGATAAAGTGTCACCCTAGCCTCTTGGCAATGTTTCCCGTTTTTTAATACTCCTTCTTCCTTGAAACACACTCTTCTTTGGGGCACCAGTCTCCCTCTCACAGTTTTCTACCTGGTTGTTGACTGCATCGTTTCCATTGTGGATCCTATCTGTATCATTTCACTCTCTAAATGTGGGATGTTAGACTTCAGTCATTGATTCTTGCAGTGAATCTATTGGTTGGTGGTCAGCTCCTTCTGTCACAACTGAGGCACACATTCCGCCCGCTGCTTCAGTGAATGAGAAGCTCTGGATACACATCATTCGGGCACAATGACAACTCCATAGCTCAAGATCATGTCCCCAAACACGGCCCGTCACATTCAGCAGCCACTGACTTCTGAGGGATTTGTGCAACATTGACTCCTTGCTTTGAGGCAAGACACTCCGAAGGACAATTGCTCTGATTCCAGAGCTCTTTGTAGAATTTGTTGATGTCTCTTTTCAACCTCCCTCTCCACCCAACAGTGCTTCTCTACAGCACTCAATAAAAGTCTTGCACATACATCTCAGAATCTCTTACCTAGAGAACTGAACCTACATTTGTGTAGATTCTGTGCCTCAGTGGACTGCTCTGTAAAGTGGGGAGAATGAGGTCACCTAACCCACGGGCTTGTGAGTGACCCGCGAGTTACGGTGCATAAGGCCCCTAAGACAGTGACAGGCACGGAGTAAGAACGGCTTAAAGATTTGCCATGGTTATTACTGTGGTTATTTCTAATTATGACAGCGCATTCTCTCTCGTGAGTCGTCTTGGCGTTTCTGACGTTTCTTTAAACCTTATCTTCTGTCAGTTCTCTTTGTAATGGATGATGTCTCTATTTTAAGAGGGAGAAGTAAAATACAGAAGAATCTGTCCCTAAGCAAAGACCCAAACTGGTTTGTGTTGTGATGCTTACGATCCCCAAGGCGTTAACAGTTTGGGGATGCCTTTTCCTTGGGGCCACCTGGATTCAGCAGGAGCAAGAATGATTTTTAATAGTGAAGGTATAGGGCCTCATGTATTAGGAATGAGGGTCTGGCCCAGTGCTGGACATGTGCCAGTGTCTGAGCTCCAGGAGAGTCCTGAATCCTGGCCTGATGTACTTCAGTACAGGCCTTCTGTGTTTCTGTGTTGTTACTTAAGGGTGGGAAATTGAATTCATATTAACACTGCTAACTCCAATCCAAATTACAGGGTTCATACCAGATTGGTTTTTTTCTGGATTTGTCATTCTCTTCTCTGATAATGAGCAACTTTGCTCGCATTACCCTCCATACGTTTCCTTACTTGACCAACACTGCCTCTTTTTAACAAGTTTCTCAATCCAGTGCCTTCTCACTCTGTTCCCTTGGCTAAAGCCCCAAATAGGATAGGCGGTGACACGTGAATAGGGATGTGAAATAGGTGGTGGTAGTTCTCCTGCCATTCCTGCCTCCCCCACCCCCATGACACCCTCCTCACACTACATAGGCTCCAAAGTGGCCCCCAAAGTGGGCGCCCACCTCCCATGACCCCACCTAAATGCTTTTACACTGTTAATTCAGGAAGGAAAGTAGGAAGGTAGGACTTGGTTTTTAAATGTGGGAGGGGGGGGCGCCTGGGTGGCTCAGTGGGTTGGGCCTCTGTCTTCGGCTCGGGTCGTGATCCCGGGGTCCTGGGATCGAGTCCCACGTCGGGCTCTCTGCTCGGTGGGGAGCCTGCTTCCTCCTCTCTCTCTCTGCCTGCCTCTCTGCCTACTTGTGATCTCTGTCTGTGAAATAAATAAATAAAATCTTTAAAAAAAAAAAATAAATGTGGGAGGGGGTGGATTTCAAACATTTCAGATGAACCTTCAATAACCACTGTCTTTTGGCCATTTTCTTTCATTCTTCTATCCCCTCCCTCTCCTCTTTCTCTCCCCTTCCCTTCTCTCCCCAACTTTCATCTTTCTCTCATTCTCCTTTCTTTTAGTAAAGAAAACCCAGTGACAATCTTATCTGTTTACCAATTAATACAAATACTTCAGTGTGAATTTCTAACAAGGACCTTAATGTAATCTTAGTGTTATTAGACTCAACAAACTCAACAGTAATTCCTAAATATCACTGTGTTCAAGTTTTCCTAATTATTTGAAATGATTTTTTTAAGATTTATTTTTAAGTAATCTCTATACTCAAAGTGGGTCTCAAACCCATGACTCTGAGATCAAGAGTTGCATGTTCTACTGACTGAGCCAGCCAGGTGCCCCTGAAATAGGTCTTTTTTACAGATGTTTTTCCTTATAGGATCCGAAAATAACTTACCACTTGCATTCAGTTGACTTGTCTACTAAGTCTCTTATTTATTTATTTTAAATATTTTATTTATCTTAGAGAAAGTATGAGCTGGGGAGGCAAGGAGGAGCAAAGAAGAGGGACAAGCAGATTCTGGGCTGAGGGTGGAGCCCAACCCAGGGCTCGATTCCAGGACCCTGAGATTCCAGGGCCTGAGATCATGATCTGAGCCGAAGGCAGATGCTTAACCAACTGAGCCACGTAGGTGCTCCAACTCAGTTCCTTTTATCTATGACAGTTTTCCTTACCCCCTCCTCCTTTAAAAAAAAAAATTATTTATGGAACAATTTCAGTCTTCTGTCCTATAAAATGTCTCACACTCTTAGCTGATTGCTTATTTTAGTATCTTTAACTTACTAGTTTTCAAACTCAGCTACACATTGGAATCATCTAAAAAAATTTAAGTTATTAAATGCCCAGGTTCCCCCCACCCCCGCAGACTGATGTAATTGATCTTGGTTCACCCAAGGCAGGTATCAGGATATTTTTAAAGTTCTCTAATTATTCTAATATGTAGCAAATTTGAAAAACCTTCATTTAATTTGCTTCTGTATTTCACCTGTTTGCTGGTATTTGGATCTAGAGACTTGATGAGACTCAGATTCACTGACTTTGGCAAGATTTGTTGATGTTAACAGTGCCCCCAGAGCTCCCTAGCAATGTCCTTGAGCCCTGGGCACAAGGGAGATGAGGGACTGCTAACACTTTACTGGTTAATACCGCTTTCCCATGTGCAGGAATCTTCTGCAGAAGTACAGCTGCCCACTAGTGTGAGGCCCAAGTCCCTGCCTTGGCCCAGGATGTCTCGAGAATTGAAGGAAGGCACAGCCCTGGACGGCCAATCTGCAGAGAACCAGATTGGGCTTCTGGTCGTAAAGGTGGAAGAGGAAGAGGCCTCTGCCATGGTGGGGGAGGCCAACCCTGTGCAGTGTTCAGAAAACTCCCGCTGGTGCTTCCGGGGCTTCCGCTACCCCGAGGCCGAGGGGCCCCGCGAGGCGCTGAGCCGGCTGCGGGAGCTCTGCCGACGCTGGCTGCGGCCCGAGACGCACAGCAAGGAGCAGATCGTGGAGCTGCTGGTGCTGGAGCAGTTCCTGACCATCCTGCCCGAGGAGCTGCAGGCCCGGGTGCGGGAGCAGCAGCCGGAGAGCGGGGACGAGGTGGTGGTGCTCCTGGAGTATTTGCAGAGGCATCTGGAGGAGCCAGGGCCGCAGGTAGAGGCGAAGGGCTTAGTGTCTGAGACGAGCTCTGTCTCTTCCTGAAGTCTCAACATCGGAGTGAGGGGCGTTTCTGGAAGACCCAGAAGTTCTCAGTCTCTTCATATCATAAACCTCTTTGCCCCTTCGGAGTACTGGTATTTTTAAGAACATGAAGAATTAGAAAAGAACTCAATTGTATTGTAACACAGTTAACCAAGCGTGAAACAATTCAGTGATAAAATTATCTATGTGCTCTTTAAAATTAATGCATTAATGCTCTTTAAAATTAATTAATTAATAGTAAGACCAAGGGACAGGCCCAGTAACTGAAAGAGTTTCCAAGTTTTTTTAAGCATGAATGACTTTGACAATGTCTGCCTGGCTGTGATGTGGTATGAAAACATCTGTACTTTCTATTGGTGACTAAGTCCTATGGCTTAACACCACATTGGTTTGTTGCTTCCATTTAAAATGGAAGGAAATGCTGAATTTCTCTTAGAGGCTAGGAAGCATTAAAATGCTTTTTTCTGGACTACTTGAGTGGGAGTTCAAGAATCTCACGCTCAAAAACAGCCCTGCGTCTTCTATGAGCTTGTGTCCTCCATACGCCGACTTGTGGATGTTCCTTCAGAGGACACGTGGCAGAACCCTACAGGCACTGACCCGGTGCCCAGGGCTGTGGCCTGGGATCTGCTGCCTGCCAGCCTTGAGCAGTGAAGTCGTTTCAAGGGTCTTAGCTTCAGGCTCCTCATTCTCCAAAGAAGTGGTTAAGTCTGAGCTCCATGGGCGAAAGTAACTAGAAAACGGTTGTTTATAAATTTCTGAAAGGAAGCCTGCTTTTTGTGGGGACAAACCACGTACAGTGTTCTGAGTTAGGTGATTGTACATACTGTCACCTTATTGGTCCCAAAGCCCTGTAAGCAAGAAATGTTGCCCTCAACTTTTCAGATACAAAAAGACAGGAGTATTCTGGAAACTTAACACTAGCTCCCAAAGTCTTCATAAGAGCACAATGTATGTAACGAGGGAGCACGCGATAGTGGCTAAGAGCATGGGCTCTGGGGTCTCTCTGCCTGACCCCCCACACTAGCATCACCACTGATTAGCTGGGTGACCTTGGACAAGTTGCTTCAACTCTGGGCCTCCATTACCTCAGCACAAAAGCACAGATAATAGTAGTTCCTCGCTCATAGAGCTGTTGCTGCCTGCATTCAGTGAATCACGATTCATAAGGTTCTTAGAACTATTGCCTAGAAAACAGAAAGTACTAGCACAGAGAAAGCATACTAGAGGTTCTGATGAATCAGTAAGTGAAACTTCCAGGTCCTCGGTGGTGACCAGACGCAGCTGCTCTGTTGCAAGATGGCGGTGCTGACACCAGCTCAGAGGCCCTAGAGTACCGAGTTGCAGCCAAAGAAGGTCTGCTCAAGCGCGAATCTCTGGGATCCCAGGCCTCAGCAGACAGAGGTGAGTGTTGTCTCCTGGGCAGCTTGAATTCGACAGCCTTCATCCAGCTTCATTAAGGATCACCTGATAGGTCCACTGACCGCTACACTGGCCATCATTGACTGACTGTACTTTGAGACTAAAAGGGAAATTTTAAACAGTGGTGGAAAGCATTCCTAATCAAGCCCGGACATAATACAAAGATAGACAAGTGAAACTTGGTTTGGAAAGAATTGGTTCTCTGTTCATTTCACACGTAACCATGGAGGCCTCTAAGTGGTAGCCCATGGGTCTGGTGGGGACGGCAGCAGACAAGCAGAGTGATACAGCTTGAGACGGGGAGAAGTGCCAAGAAGAAAATGACAGAATCTGTCAAGCCAGTCGGAATACCGAACAGATTACAGGACTATTGCAAATGAGACTAGAAATGCTCTAAACCCTGGCTCTGTTACTAGAATAGCATGAATCCCCCCCAAGGATGAGGCTGTATGTCCGGAACGTGTGTGCAGGTTCCCAGGACACAGCCCCGAGACACGCCAGCCGCCACACCCAGTCTTTACTTCTCAACACAGGTTCTAGCTTAAATCCACTATTCTGTGCCCCTTTTAAAGTTTACCTCTTACAGGGCAACTTGAAGTTCTTGCTTTTGTCTCTTGACTCTGAGCAAGTTCTGTACAACTAGAGGCCTGTGCATTTCTAGTTCTGGCCTTCGCTGGTTAGGCCCCTAACAACCACAAATGGCAGTTTAACCAAAATCTTAATTTTACTCTCCCTCCCAAGCAAAATTCAGAGGATCTTCAGATGAAAAGCTTGTTTTATGTTTCTTAAACGCACTTTTCCTTCCAAGGATCCCAACCCTTCTGTGTACTTTTGTATACGGACAGCAGGACAGCACACCACGCCTCTCTAGGCCCTAGGGCTGGAGCTGGCAGGACCAGGCACAGGGGAAAGGAGCACATTGTGTATAAATTTTCTGGGGAATTTCCTGGCCCAGTTTTTGAGCTTGGAATCCACAGGCCAGGAAAGCTGGGTGCCAGGGTCCATCTCATCCAGAGCATCTTTCCTTCTTAGTCCTCCAGGTTCCTGGGCTTGCCCCTGGAGGGCGGCGCAGAGGACACGCAGTGGTGACTGCCAGGCTGCCCCCATAGCCCCAGGTAAGCTGGAGCCCCCTGCTGTGCATCCTTTGCCGGTCTCTCCCTCCTGCCCTACATCCTACACCCACCCAAGTCCTAGGTGGGATTTTAAGTTTCTCATGCATGCCAGTGTCACTTGTCATGGTCTAACCTTCTGGTGCCTGCAGAGGAGTCTTTTCCTATTTTATGACTCGCCTGGGTGCTGTCTGTGCTTCCACACCCTCCCTGCTCTGTCTCTCTGGTCAGCCCCTTCTTCAGTGGGATTTTCTTCAATAAGTACAATTCCGCAAATGCAAGCGGAAGCTTTTGTCATGATGGTGCTTTTGTTCTGAAGTGGGATTTTTTTTTTTTTAAGATTTTATTTGAGAGAGAGAGAGAGTGAGCACGAGAGCGGGGAGGGGCAGAGGCGGAAGCAGACTCCCCCCTGAGCAAGGAGCCTGACACAGGGCTCCATCCCAGACCCTGAGATCATGACCTGAGCCAAAGTTAGAGGCTTAATGGACTGAGCCACCCAGGTGCCCCAAGTTTTGTGTGTTTTGTTTTTTTTTTAAATGCCATGACTAGGGTATAAACACACAGTCTCTGGCTCTCATGGAACTTAAAAGTTGAGAGGAAGGTGAGGCATGTCCATTTTTCTCAACTAATAGTACAATCTGAGCAAGCTTTACTTAACGTGGATTTTACTTTCTCATCCAGTTCCTCATGTCCTCGAGATTCTGTAGTCGCACTTTCTTCCCTGACTGTCCTCACCTCAGACCTACATTCTTTGTATTTTATTCTTTTTAAGATTTTATTTATATTGGCAGAGACAGCGAGAGAGGGAACACAGCAGGGGGGTGGGAGAGGGAGAAGCAGACCCCCTGCTGAGCAGGAAGCCCAATGTGGGGCTCGATCCCAGGATCCTGGGATCATGTTCTGAGCTGGAGGCAGACGCTTGATGACTGAGCCACCCAGGCGCCCCTCATTTCATTATATTTTAATAATCATTCATGTCAATGAGCCCCCCTCACTACCTTGCTGAAAATCACACCAGAAATCTCGTGAGATGTTTCCGTTGGTTCCAGGCCTTTCACTGGCTTGGCCGTTATTTTGTCTAGACACTGACGAACACACCCTCATGGGTTCTCTCGTTCTTTACTTCCGTGCTGTTCTGCTGACCGGTGAGGCGGGTATTAGTGGCTGCGCTGGCGTGGTCGGCACAGCCGTTGGAGGGGACACTGAGTCTCCTGTGCCCAGCTGTGGGCAGGACTTTGGGGCAGAGGAACTAGGTGGTACCGTGTGCTGTTTCAGGGCTTGCTGAAGACGGAAGCCGTGGCCCTGGCTTCCTCCCTTGCGTGGACACAGCTGGATTCATCTTGGAGGAGCTTCCACGGAGAGGAAAGGCAGGAGAACTGTGGCGGCCTGACTCCCCTGGGTAAGACATGGGTGCTGGTCTCTGCTAGGGTCTCGTGGCTCCCCTTGTCGGTCAGAAGCTGCTGGGCTGCGAGAAGCTGTCTGAGCTGTTTGCATCCAGAGCCACCGATTCTGAACCCGCTCCTAACCGCAGCGCGACCAGCTCCTTAACCCCCGTGACGCCGCCTCCTTCCTGTTCTGCCAGCATTCTGGGCAGGGGACGTGGGATGCAGCAGACGCAATCCCCAGCCTCGCTCGCAGCAGGTGCGCAGTCAGTGTTGATCCCCCGCCCACTGCCAGCCTCGACAGGAGACTGAGTCCTCCTCAGGAGATGGGCCACGGGACCGTAGAGTGTGAGAGCAAGAAATGACCCGGAAGGGACGGCAGAGGTGACCTAGAGATCAGGACACAGGGCAACAGCCGGACTCGTCAGAGCTCACGGCTCTGTGGTGTGCAGTGGCAGTGCCAGCTCAGCTCTGTCAGCAGCGAAGCTGGTCCCTGTCTGGGGTCAGAGTGACCGCTCGTATCCCTGACTGCGGATCAGTTTCTTGGTTCCCGCTTGCCCCGTTTCTTACAGAACGTGTCATTAAGTCCTTACGTTTGCCTGCTTCCTGCTGCCTTCCGCCCAGTTCTCCGAGCATCCAGCATCCTGTTTCAGCTCGGTAAAGCTGGGCTTGACCTACCACTTCCCATCATCTTGTGGCAGAAGTCACAGAGTCTGGCTGAGATGGATTCTCTTCTACATCCTAGAAGGTGGCTGAGGAACAGCTTGTTTGATAGGAGGCTACGGGAGAGTTGTCTGGAAGGGGTAAGACCCGAAATATTTATTCTCACCTACTGGACTGAAATGGGCTTCCAGACTGGCTAAGCACCTCCGGCCAGCACCTCATGACGTCTCCTGCGCAGACGGCTCTGCCTGTAAGGAATCCTCCATCAGCTGGTCAGATCCGTGACATCTCACACTCCCTGCTGTGGCTTGAACAGGTGCTAGTAAACACTCATTAACTATAACCGTGAGATGACCTATAGCTCTGGGTATGGTATCCTCCAGATTTCCGAGGCACTTCTCACCACAGCCATTTGAGCTTGTGTCTGATTCCGAGTTAATCCAGTACATTTCTGCAGACCACATAGGACTGGCAGGTTGAGGTTACTGTGACAGAAAGAATCCAAACTTCCTGACCAGACTGGGCTTTCCAGGGTGAAAGCCTCAGGTTCTTCGTCATGAAATCACTGTGAATGTATGCCAGCAGGGAATGCCATTCTTCCACACCGCTGCTCTTTGCAGAGACAACATCCCTATGCGCCGTGTAAAAATTAATCCGATCAAAATAAAATGATAAATCTGGTACCACTTAGCATCTTGTTCTCAGGTTCTAGTCCTCTTGGGCCTAACCACGTGTTCTCAAAGCCCCAGACGCTATCCTGCCCACGACTCACTCCACCAGGAAGTAGAGTAGACTGTCAGTCACGACTTACGCAAGTTCCAACTTCCTTCAGGTCGGTAAACTTATACCAAATATTAAAGCAAGTATCACTTTTGGTTTCAAAACTCCATTACTAGTGTGCAACCATCTTGGTCATCTTTTTTTTTTTAAGGTTTTATCTTACTTTATTTTAAAGATTTTGCTTATTTGAGAAAGAAAAAGTGAGAGAGAGAGCACATAAGCTGGTGGGGAGAGGCAGAGGGAGAGGGAGAAGCAGACTCCCCTCGAGCAGGGAGCACGACGTGGGCTTGACCCCAGGACCCAGAGATCATGACCTGAGCCAAACCGACTGAGCCACCCAGCTGCCCCCATCTTTGTCCTCTTGCATGTTAATTTCCAAGTCACCAGTGTGGTACCATCTCTTCAACTGTTCATGATGACAGTTTTAGCCATTAAGTTAATTCCACAGACTATCTACTTTTCTTTCCTTTTTTTTTTTTTTTAAGGATTTATTTATTTGAGAAAGAGAACATGAGCAGGAGGGGCAGAGGGAGAGGGAGACTCTCAAGCAGACTCTGCTGAGTGTGGCGCCCAACGTGGGGCTCAATCCAGGACCCTGAGATCATGACCTAGGCTGAAGCTAAGAGTCAGACACTTACCCAACTGAGCCACCTAGGTGCCGTGCTATTTACTTTCCTTAAGCACACTTTGTAGACCATCCTTTTTTTCCCCTCATGATAGTCAAAATTTCAGTTTTGTGAGAAAATTTTCAGTCACCATTACAGAACAGGGACCGTTGAACAACACTAGTTTGAACTGCACAGGCCCACCTATATGTAGATTTTTTCAACAAATGCAGTACTAAAAGTATATCTTCTCTTATTATTAATAACTTTTTTTCTAGTTTACTTTAAGTATTTAGTGTATATGCATATAATAAAAAATACATGTTAACTTTACTGGTAAGGTTCCTGGTCAACAGTAGGCTATTAGTAATTAAGTTTAAGGGGAGTCAAAAATTATATGTAGATTTTCAACTGGGTGGGGGGCTGCTGCCCCTAACCCCGTGTTGTTCAAGGGTCAATTGTAGTATTATGTATATTTCAAATGGAGTTGCTTCTACAAGAGCATTCCAGGATGACTGCCTTCCTGCAAACTTACTGGAGAAATACACTTTTGTGTTTGCATCTGCCCACACTTCTCACTTGGTTTCTGGCACCAACAGCTACTTCCCCATTTATTATTAGCAGTCCAAGACTCTGGAATTCAAATATAGCAAGGTTCTCTGGTCACCTTGCCCAGTTAATGGTTTTGTCATTGTGACAGATTGTCCCCCGCTTATCCAAAATCCCTTGCAGACCTGTCCAAGTCCCGGCTCCAAGGCCAGCTTTCAAGGCCTGGTACTCCAAAGTTTTGAGGGATCTAGGGGACACAAATCTAACAAATCCTAAAGTAAATTGTTTATATTACAGTAAAAACTATATGGTTATTTTCTCTGAGTGAATTCTTAAACCAATAAAAATGCATGATTTCTAAAGTTTCTTTATACCTATGTATTAGGGTCCACCAGAAAAACATATTTACTAGGATATAAATATATACAAAGAGATTTATTATATATACGGAACTTGCTCACATGACTGTGAAGGCTGGGAAGTCTCAAGATGTGTCGTTGGCAACCTGGACCCAGCAGAGCTAATGCTGTAGTTCGGTCCAAGTCCTAAGGCCTGTGAAGCAGGAAAGCCCATGGTGAGAGTTCCAGTCCAAAAGCCAGCAGGCTTGAGAACTAAGAAGGACGGTCTGAGTCTGAAGGTAGGAAAAGACTGATGTCCCAGCTTAAGGCAGTCAGGCAAGAGGAGTTCCCCCTTATCAAGGTAGGGTCAGCACTTTTGTGCTGTTCAGGCCTTCAGCTATCTGAATGAGGGCCATCCGCAGTAGGGAAAAGATTCTGCTTTATGCATATACCAGCTCAGATGTTAGTGTCCTCCCAAAACGTCCTCAGTCATGCCCAGAACAATGCGTGACCCCATGTCTGGGCACCCTGTGCTCTGATCATGTTGACCCATAAAACTGACCATTCCAATACCGAGTATTCACTACAGAATTAAACCTTAACCATGCTCCTCCCCACGCCCCCCTCATTTTGATTTCCAGTTATTACAACTGATAGTAAGAACCTAGGAAATAATGTTTGTGCCTCCCTCCCCTCCCCTGCTTCCAGATCAAGACAGAGAAGGGCTGGTACGAAGCTGAGAGACAGAGATAAATGACGGGCTCAGTACTGTTCGCTCAGCACCAGGCAAGCCTGACGAACGGATGATTCTAAAGCTGGGTTGATTCTGCTCGCTCTCTCCTGTTAACACAAATTCCCTCGTGCTAGAGACCACAGTGTTCACATTCCCACTTCCGGAAGTAAACTTTTCTTTCCTATTGCTAAACCCTGTGTTTACAACCATTCAGGCAGCAAATCTCACAGTGTTAGGTCACACACTAAGGAACCGAAGATGAGCAGTTTTCTCCCCTTCGAAGAGCAGGAGAACTGAACTCTCTCCTAAGATGTTCCGTCCGTGTCTGTCCTCGTTCTGTGAGTCTGCCTGACAGCCCGTGTCCACACGCAGGAGCCGCACAGACCAGGGTTCAAGAGCAGCTGCGTAGGCCTGTGGTCCCCCCAGAATGTGGGACTGGGCGAGCACGGTGCGCAGCCTGTCCAAGGCCGCCTGCCACGCCCCCTGGCCCGCATGGCGACGTCGCGGGGCAGTCTCCTCCCCTGCAGAGGGGGGCTCGCTCGGCTGCAGCACCACAGCAGCTCCTCTGCAGCAGGACGTTCTACCACACGCGCTGCTGACACATGGCTTCTTTGGGTGCCATCCTGCGGGACACAGGACACAGGGAGCAAACACATCTGCGTATCCCTGCTTGTTGTTTACACAGATTTAAAAACTGCCAGGGCGCCTGGGCAGCCCAATCGGCTAAGCAGCCGACTCCATCGTGGCTCAGGTCACGATCCCAGGGTTGTGAGATTCAGCCCCACACTGGGCTCCGCACTCAGTGTGGAGTCTGCTTGAGATTCCCTCTCCCTCCGCCCCTCCCCGTTTACATGCTCTGTCTTTCTCTTTCAAATAAATAAATCTTTAAAACATTTTTTAAAATATTGCTTCAATCTAAAAAGGGCTGTTTGTTTTCTGACCAAATCTGTCAGCCTTTCTTTTAAAAAAAAGCTGGTGCCAAACCTGGGGCTGTTAAGGCCACAGTGCCCTTTCTGAAGACGGTGGCCACACAGAACAGGTAAGAATTCCTGGGATCTGGGAGCACATGCTCTTGACTATGTAGTGGGTGAGAGATACAGCAAGGGTCTTCCCGCTCCTGCACCTGTAACCACACTTGCTAAGTTACAGGGTACAGGGGGCACGTGCTACCTGCCAATGAACGTTCACAGCCTGTCTCCAAAGGCAGGACGGGAGCCAGGTGCCCCATGACATAACCGGAAGTAAAAGTCTGTCTCCTGAGGCTGAGTAGATGGCCACTTAAAAATGATAGTCAGCATCAATCTAGGCTTACGAGTGTGGAGCTGATCCTTCCCTGCCCTGCACCCCAGCCGCACCTCGGGGAAGGAAGGAAGGCTCCCCGGTGCTCCGGCTGCCACTGCGGTGGACTCATCCACACTACTCCTGTGCTCCCTGAGCTGCCAGTGAGTCACACAGTGTCCTCCCCTGGCAGCTGTAGCCCTTCACCTGTCTTGGTATTTCTGTTGGAGAGAAACGTGTCTAAATTCATCAGACGGAATCTGAGAAAAACCTGCAACGAGGAGAAGAAAGTTAAAGCAACCCTGTGAGTGCAGGTGCCCAGGAGGCGACATGGCTGCGGCGTCAATGGCGTGAATGCCCGTTGCGGGCTGTTCTGCTGGCAAGTGTCTGATGGACTTCTGCCCAGAGCTGCTGCTTGCAATCTGACATGTTCTATATTCCAGACACAAGTCCTCTGTTAGAGATATGGTTTGCAAGTATCTTCCCCTATCTGGAGCTTGGCTTTCAATCCTTAAGTCTTTCACAGAACAACACTTTTAAATTTTGATCAAAACCAAATTATTAATTTTTCCTTTAAGCAACCACGGTTTTGACACCAATTCTAAGAATCTTTGTCTAAATGTAGGTCCTGATGATTTCCCAGCTTTTCTTTTAAACATTTTATAGTTTTAGATCTTATGTTGTAGTCCATGACTCATTTTGAGCTGATTTTTGTATAAGGTGTGAAGTTTAGGCTATTTTTATTTTATTTTGCCCATGGATACCCAACTGTGCCAGCACCATTTTCTGAAAAGACTATCCTTCCTCCTCTAAACTGTTTCTGCACCTTTGTGAAGAATCTGTTGGGCATTTTTGTGTGGATCTGCTTCTGGGTTCTCCAGTCTGAACTCTGTGTCTACACCACGTTCTCTTGAGCACTGTAGATAGACCGTAGCCCTAACATCAGCCAAAGTGATTCTTCCCACTTTATTCTTTTTCAAGCTTTAGTTTTTCCTAGGTCCCTTGCCTTTCCATATAAATCTTAGAATAAGTTTATATCTACAAAAAATTTCTGGTGAGATTTTGAGAGAATCTGTATTAAGCCAAAAATCAGTGTAGAGAGAACTGATATCTTTACTGTGTTGTGTCTTCTAATCCATGAACACTGTGTGCCTCCATTGATTCAAATCTTTGCTTTCTCTCATCGGGATATGGGCAACTCAGTTCTGAACTGAATTACAACAATAACTGGAATGAGCATGGAATCAGGTTCTAAGTGCCTACAAAGAAGAACCCAAATGGCTAACACTTTCATTGTGGCCTTGTGGAACCTGGAGTAGAGAAACAAGCTGAGTTAACTGGGATTTCTGACTTAAAGAACTGTGAAATAATAAATTTATGTTGTTTTAAACCACTGGGAGTTTGTGATAATCTGTTAAGGTGGCAATAGGAAATAAATACAAGTAACATTATAGGCATCACCTGGGAAATTATTAAAAATTAAAACCCAGACCTATAGAATCTGAACACACATTTAACCTGATACCCAAGTGATTTGATTACACTCATTTTTGAAAATCACTGGTAATACTTTGCCTGCTGTGGAAGTGGAACAAAGAAATTGAAAAAGAACACATGTTTGCATGGGTTTCAAAGAAAGACAAATAAAGCCACAAATTTTAATGACCAGAAGGGGGAAAAAAAAAAAAAGAAAGAAAAAGAACACCACAGAAGGGGTGTGGGCCAAAGATCCTGAATCTATTTTGCACAGATTTCTGGGTGCGGTGTAAGAAAGTGGTTCGGTTTCATTCTTCTGCATGTGGCTCTCCAGCTTTCCCTTGACTGTTGACAAACTTTTTCCATTGGACATTCTTTCCTGCATTGTTGAAGATTAATTGACCATAGAGTTATGGTTTTATTTCTGGGTTTTCTGTTCTGGTCTATTGAGCTATGTGTCTATTTTTGTGCCAGTACCATACTGTTTTGATGATCACAGCTTTGTAATAGAACTTAAAGTCCAGAACTGTGATGTCTCCAGCTTTGTTTTTCTTTTTTCAAGGTTGCTATGGCTTTCAGGGTCTTCTGTGACTTCATACGAATTTTAGATTTGTTGTAGCTCTGTGAAAAATGCTGCTGGTATTTTGACAGAGATTGCATTGGGACCTGCCAATGTTTTTAAGAGACATCTCTATCTACCACTGACAGTTCAAGGACCACTGGATATGCTTTATCATGTGGGAGGAGTTTCTAGTTCCTAAATGAGCACTAAAGGGGGCTAAAAGCCAACCTACTCAAAGGATGAATCTTGAAGTTTGCGTTATGTCCGAGAGTAGTGAGCCAAAGCTAGATTTGACCTAGATGACCTTTAGGTAACATGTTAAAAAAACAGCCATTGGTAAAGGTTGGGTGCTGCTAGACATCTAATGGGATGGAAAGCAGATGAAGAGTCAAGTACTAATATTTACCAAATATCCTCGATGTGGCAGGCACTGTGCTGGGCTTATATACATGGTGCTTATATTGATGATCTAGTTCCTACAAATGTCTGATTTGGGGATTATAATCTGTTTACAAATGAGGGAATTCAAGTTCAGAATAGCTCAGGGGCATATGTAAGAAAAAAGGAAGAAACTAGGGGGGAGGAGTCAAGATGGCGGAGAAGTAGCAGCTGAGACTACTTCAGGTAGCAGGAGATCAGCTAGATAGCTTATCTAACAATTGCAAACACCTACAAATCCAACGGGAGATCGAAGAGAAGAAGAACAGCAATTCTAGAAACAGAAAATCAACCACTTTCTGAAAGGTAGGACTGGCGGAGAAGTGAATCCAAAGCAACGGGAAGATAGACCGCGGGGGGAGGGGCCGGCTCCCGGCAAGCGGCAGAGCCACGGAGCACAAAATCAGGACTTTTAAAAGTCTGTTCCACTGAGGGACATCGCTCCAGAGGCTTAACTGGGGTGAAGCGCACCCGGGGTCAGCGTGGCCTCAGGTCCCGCAGGGTCACAGAAGGATCGGGGGTGTCTGAGTGTCGCAGAGCTTACAGGTATTGGAACCAGGAGGCCGGCTACAGAGACAGAGCCGAGGAGTGAGCTCTAAGCTTGGGTTTACCTTGAACCGGTCTCAGGCTCCGTCAACTCGGAGCACGGCCGGAGGCCAGGGTGAAGGAAGCAATTGGGCGCTGTTCTCTGAGGGCGCACTGAGGAGTGGGGCCCCAGACTCTCGGCTCCTCCGGGCCGGAGACGGGGAGGCCGCCATCTTCATTCCCGTCCTTCGGACTCTTCGGAAAGTGCTCAGGG